CGTGGCTTGATTGATCATGCTGATGTGATTGCAGAATTTTTCCCTCCAATTATTCCAAGGCGTGATATGGATCGGAGCATGATTATGAATCCTCACTTAGAGCGCGCACACGATTAACGACGGATTAATACGCAATTGACCTTCTCATCATATGTAACTTGACTTTCCCTTCATTCCAATTCCACTCTCGCGTTTCAAAACTTCCAAGCACAGCCTAATAAAATGCCAAACTCATAATTGAATCCTTTAGACTAATATTCACTCCGATTTTAAATACTCCATCCAGTCTATAATTATAACACGTTAGTTAACAAAATTATCATCCAAAATATAAAACGTTATAAGAATAATTATTGTCATTTTTTTTATTTTTACCCCTATTAAATATAGGAGAGAGGTGAGAGATAATAAAAGTATGACATAAAATGCAATTTTATCATTTTTTTAGGAGTAAAATATGATAACTTTATCATTTTAAGACACATTTAATGACTAAACTTACTTTTTTTTTTATATGTGAGAAAAGTTAGCCAGCTTTTGATATTATGGATTGGGGGAGTATAAATTAATTGTAGGGTATTTAATGGTTTTTTTTAATTTCACCCTTATTTAATTATTATGGGAAAGAGAGAAAGAAGGGAGGGAGTTAAGCAGGATTAGTAAATACAAAGAGGGGGGAAATTTTGAATTTTTTTTTATCTATTTAATACGTTACTTGATATGTGAGCATCAATTATAAGTCACTCATAATAAACTAAACATAAGTGGTATCAAGTGTTAATATATTGTGAATATTGTAGCATATTCTTCATGTGTGCCATATATATGTGCGTGTGTATATGCCGCCCTAGTTAATTAGTATGAACTGATTATTCAACAAATGACAAACGGCGACAACATTAAGTGACGGGTCAACCAAGAGAACAGCATCAACGTCTTTAATCAGCAAAGCACAAATCACTAAGGCATAATTGTCGGCGGAGAAGGGTTACATACATTGTTTTCATGGAGCAATGGTCATAATAAATTGCATAATAATCCCACCTTGCTGCTGAGGAATGATTAAAGAAGGCAACCATAGCCAAGTAAACATAATCCCTCCCCCCCCCCCCCCAAAATCTGTAGTATTTAATGTTATGGTTCTTGACAATTTGAGTGAAGGCCATTTTCTTCTGCTCTCTCCTTTATATATTGTATATTATCTAAAACGTGGAAAGAACTTTTGTTATTCTTTTATCCCCATCGTTCAATGGTTTGTTTAATCTTTAATAACAACACACTTTGAAAAAAAAATTGTAATTAATATCTTTTAGAGAATTTCTCTCAAGTATTCATCCATCATAGTCAAATCAAAGACCACTTTTCTAAATTAAATCAATTAAATAATGCTTTAAATATAAATAATTCGTCTTCCTTGGGAAAAAAAAATCAATGTCCATTCTTTTTTGTTTTGTTTTTAATTACTTTCGATGGTGAGTCATTCTTCAAAATGTTAGAACTTATCATACGTGAGGGGACATGGGGCTCACCAAAGCAATCCCCTTTACTTTTTATAAAAGAAGGCTACGTCGCATTAACTAGGAGAGTGTTCGAGATTCATACCGTATTAATTAGCGAAAGGAATCAAATTGATAAAAAGACGAGGGAAAAATCTCAATTATCAAAGCCTAATCCAAGCTTTCCACTATGATTAGCCAGCAAATTAGTGCATTTATATGTTCACCTCACATAAGAGACGACAAATATTAAGAATTCGATTCTCTCTCAGTGTTCATAATTTCTTGAATTTATGTGGTGGAAAGATTTTTGAATGAGCACAGGATCATTCCACCATGGAAGATCTCAAATTGATACATTCTCTCCTATTCTAAATATACAAATTGGATAACCAATCTATAGAGATTAATGAATTGTTTGTAAAAAGATGTATTTTGATTTTTCTAAAGCATCCATTTTGATTATTTATATTGACAATTACTCTGTTGATAAAAGAAAACCCCTTAATATGTGAAATTAACATGGAATTTATGAAAAAAATTATAATTTTAAATGACAAAGTAAATTAAAGTGTTATATTTATGATGAAAAAAAACCCTTTTATTAATTCTTATATTTAGGACTAGAAGGAGTATCTTGCAGAATCAAGCTAAGTTCAGGGAATGAACTTTGATGAGAATGATTATACCTGTGTGAAATTATATGCAATGGCTTTGTTAATTTGCTACTCAATTATTGTACTTCACCCTCCTTCCCCGTAATTTCATGTTGGATAATTATCGTCTTCATTCTCTTTTTGTCTTCTTCACTCAAATTTCTCTTTAATTTGTCCAATAAGATTAATTAACAATGACTCTGCCCACACTGTAGCCCTGCTCCTGCGGATCTGTGTAACTTTGTATTCAATCTCAACTGCCGTGTGCTCATTGCTAGCAAAAGCACTGGATGCTTTTGTAGATAGGTAACTCCATTTGTATGTGTACAATATATAATGTAATCTCTCGTTCTTAATATAAAAAACTAGAAAATTAATTTGTAAATACTAAAATAATTAGTTAATTTAATTATTTGTAATAAATGTGTATTAGTTTATCAAAATTACCCTCTTGAATCAGGTATGCGTATTAAAACTGTCCTTTGATGGGAAGTACTCTCAATATATGCAATTAACAATGACATTTTAGGTTGAAAAATTGTAAATTTGAAAAACAAACAAACAGATGAAGGTGTTATATTTATAATCAATATGAAACTCTTGTTTAACTCTTTTGTTTTAGACATGAGGCACTTTGTATTGATGATGATCAATTTGTATTCCGTTTATGAATGCGCTCTTTGGTTGGTATATTTTTGCCAAATGATTACTGTATTGGGGACAGTGAGAGAGTATCACAAATAAAAATATTCAGAGAAAAATAATTTGCAAGATGCCCTATAATATATTCTTCCGGTCCTAAATGTAAGACCCTTGTACACACTAGTATAAGGGTTTTATATTTAGGACCGGAAGAGCAAGTCACTTTCATCTAGCTCATTGGAATTAATAAAAATTAGTTATTTTATTAAAATAGTGAGAAAAAAAATTTTCCAGCCTTATCGTTAATTATTAACACTACATTTTAAACAAACAAATATCCGACAAACTTGTTGGAAATTTTCAAAAATGGTATTCTATAAAAAAAAAAAATCTCAAAAACTCATGCAGAGTAACCTACATATAAGACCACAATTTTCCTATAGAATGTGACATACTCAAAAGAAATATAATAGTAGGTGGAGCAAGTATTTTCCTAGAAAATAAAACAAAATAAACAAAAACATGTTTGGAGGAATCGCGATTTTAGATCAAAAGGTGAATTTAATTTTCTTTTTTGGTAGAAGGGTGAATTTAATTTTGATCAAGGTCAAAAGATCGCACAATTTCAATCGAGGACCAAGTCATATAGTAATTTAGTGATATTTTAAAATTTTGCATTAGAGGTTTTTTTGGGTCAAAATTTGACACTAAAGGACCAAAAATCAGTAGGTAATTACTGGTATTCTTAAATTTGACACTGATATTTATTTTGAAACTTAACACTGATATTTTAAATTTTGAAACACGACTTTGAATATCATTGTCAAATTTTTGAAATATCAGCAGCATCAAATTTTGGAATCTCAAACTATCGTCTTATCGACATTTAGTCAGATACCAATAAATTTTGCTACAATTTAAGCTATTTAATAGTTTTCTTAATTTGTCTGCATAATTATAATTGATAGGTATTCCAAGATAGATAGAGAAAGCATAAATATTAAGAAATATATTAATTTTACTTGACTAAAATAGCCTCATCAATAAGGGAAGAATTGTTTAAAAAAAAGGTGATATTTGATTTAAATTCTTAAGCACGGTAATTTAATTGAAATGAAATGAAAACTCTAAGAATGATCCTGATCATTTTCAAATGAATGGAATATATCATATAAAATTGTCAAATCGTGATTTGTTCGTGGACTGTGCAAGACCCTTTAGAGTGAGACAAAGGAGAAAATTTGATTCATTTTCTAAAAGAATAAAACGAGTAACATTAAACCCATTTTCAATTTTCGATTTGAAACGTCAAACCATAGACGAAGTGAGCGTTTTCTTGTGAAATAAATGCAAAATCTGCTTTAATTTGAATCACTTGTAAATATCGCTCTGAACTTTCAAATTAAATTTGATAAATGATGTCTTATTAGCTCTAAATTCCAACCAATATAGGTCTTTCTCATATTTTTCTCATTTGCAAATTTAAAATATGAAATATCTGCATATAATTGAAGTGAACTCATTTGGGTATAGAACTCAATCGTTCTCTTTATTAAATAACACGCCAATTATAGGATATCTTGAGTAACAAATGATCTTAACTTCACAAGAGAAAATCGGAAGTTCGATAGTTTTATTCATAAGTTGCCAAAGTTCGATAGTCTTAAAATTTTTCCTAATATTAAATTTGTTTGTGGGTTCAGTTCAATCTAAATATACTCGCATATACAAAGATACACACACACACACATCGGTATCGAATCCCAAATACGGATCACACGAAAAGAGCTCAGAAAATGAACAGAACTTCAATGTTACTAGTGGCACAAACTATATATGAAGCGTCAGGAAAATATATATGAACGATTCGTGCACTCCATGGAATAATTCATGTGAAAAAGGAGAAACAAAAACAAGAGATTTCGCCAAGTTGCTAGATCGATAAAAAGATTTATCCCCCGCTGATATAGTTGTCTTCTGGTCGTATACTCGTATATATAATTTATGCAAAAAACATAGACACAATCGAAGAATCAAATCTAGGATATGAACATCGGTGGTGACCAGTGATAACACTGTTTCCCTCTCATTCCAAAACTCTCCCACGCGCATTACATATTGGCAATATGTCTATATAAGCGTTGAAAATTTGTAAGATCAAAACACCAAATACTTAAAAGGCAAAGGTGAAGATCAAAAGACAAGCATGGATGGTCACAAGGGAAAGCAGGAGAAGGCGAAGGATGAGACAAGGTACCGGGGTGTCCGGAGGCGGCCATGGGGGAAGTACGCGGCGGAGATTAGGGATCCGTCGAAGCAAGGGGCGAGGCTGTGGCTGGGGACGTTTGATACGGCGGAAGAAGCAGCCAGAGCCTACGATAGGGCTGCCTTCAACATGAGGGGTCATCTTGCAATCCTTAATTTCCCTAATGAGTATTATTCTCAGCTGATGCCCCCAGCATGTGGTCCCTTTTGGCCGCCTCCTTCTTCTTCGTCTTCTCACGGTCCTGTAAGTGCAGGCCCATCGTCTGGTCCGCTGCGGAAGCAAGTTTTTGAGTTTGAGTATCTGGATAATCAGGTGCTCGAAGACCTGCTAGAATCAGAAGAGGAGAAGAAGAGAAGAATGCGGGATTGATTATTCTAATTGCCCTTTCCTTTTCATTCTCTTTCCCTCTCCTTTTTTCTGGCAATATGATTAGTACTAATAAGGGGAAACGGGTCTTGTCATGGTATTTTAGCATAAGTTTTTACGAAGTTCTCTGTGAACCATCACAATTTAGTATTGTAATCTACAGCTTCACAGTATGTTTGTTAAAAAGTTGATCTTCGTATATCAGAAATCTTCTCATTTCGTCTCCTAGCCCTACTGCAATATGTGATATGATTATCAACTGGTAATAATCGTTTTGTTTTCTCTGTATATAGAACCGTATTGCATTATTAATTATAAGCATTTCTTATACGCATGTAATATGTTTCTTTGGCTTTTGAATTGGTACGAGATTATTAGGCGATGGACGACGATGGAATAACAATAGGGCTATCAGACACAAATGAACTTTAGTGTGAAACTTAAAAGAGTGACGGGAAAATGAAATACCGTCAGTACAACTCTAAAGGAATACGAACAATGGTATACCAATATCCCACTCCAACTCTTTCCCTTTTCTAATTTAATCATCATCATCATCATCATAACATCTGCAATATTTTGTTTCACTACACACGATGCCATTTGCATTGCTTACACTTAATTACGGTGCAACTTGTTATCGTTGATTATATTGAAAGTAGTTGAAGTTAAAAAGGGTTTTAGTGGCAGTATGTTATATATTGTCATCGAAGGCGTTCTCTGTAATGATCCACAGAAGTATATTACCGTCTAATTATATGGTAGTGTTCACATGAAATGTTGAGATGTGATATTTTTATTTTTCAAGATAATTTAAAGAGTTGAGCCATATGATTTAAAATTTGTGTGCCGTATTTTGAATTGAATTTGAGATGGCAGTTCTCCTTCCAGTCCAAAACTATTGTTATTTTAGTTTTTTTTTTCGTTTGGAAATTCAAGGTTTGGCCAATTTTTTTTCTAACTATACTCTCATTTAATAATTATTCATATGATTATTTTAGAACAATCTGGAAACAGATTGCAATCATATCTTTGTTATCACCTCTTCTTTTACATTTCAGTTAATTACTTTTTTTCTTACTTTTATTTCTCCTTCCCTTTGTTGAATACACCATGATAGGAGGGGATTAAATGAGAGTATTTTATTTGATGTATAATGATGCTTTACATTAATTAAATATTTCTTAATCTATTTACCATAACCTTTTAAACTGCAATAATTTTGGAGTGGATGGTAACTATTTTTCCTAGCTACGAATTTACGATCTCCTCGAATTGCTATTAGAGGTTTAATTAAGCATGCTTCTTTATGTATTCAAACAAAATTTATAGTAAATCATACTCCTCTGATTCTTATGATCTAACTCAATTTTTTTCCCAAATGAACCCTATTGATATTTTTTAAACAATAATCAAGTAGAAGAAGGAGCTAGAGAAGAAAATAAGGATAATGATTAAGGAATTTTAGAGAAAAAATATATTATATTAACTAATTTAACTAACATCCATGATCTACTCAAATTAATTAACTATGTTTTATATTAAATACTAGAAGAATATTGTTTATAACTTATAAATTGAATGGTACACCTTCTATTAGGAAAAACCACACAAAAATAAGGAGAACTGGAGAAGCCAAGTTTAGGCATTATGTCAGAATTATTTTTTCTTTTCCAGTTTTACTCCCCATTTAATGTCACGCTAATTTAAAATTAATAATATCTATACATTGAAATTTGAAAGATGACGTGTGTTTATTTGCAAAGGAGATTAGGAAGATCCTTGCCTTTCAGTATTTTCCCGCAACGTTCTATATGTAGATATATTAATACATTTTGGTGATTATACTACTGTTATTTCAGCTATACTCTTATCTAACTATAGTACATCGCATATTGGACGACAAACTTGGAGAAAACAAATAACGCTATTTGTCATATCTTCAAATTAACCTTTCCATTCCGTAGATTCTAGAATGCCCCGTAAGATAGTTGGCAAAAAAAAAAGAATACCCTGTAAGATATGGATTTTCTCCATTAAATCTTGAACAGCTGGAGAGCAAATCTTATTTATGGAAAGATGATCCCTGGTAATATCCAGTTATATTAAATTGGCAATGACTAATTAACGCACGAGTCAACGACATTAATTACGACAATAACTGTTGCCGATCAGTAAATAATCATAAATGCTGGTCTTCCCTTTGTTTTTGCCATCGAATTTCCTTAATTGTTCCTGTTACTGACTTACTGGTCCGTAAAATTTGCCTAACCTAAATTTTAATATATTCATCACATCCTATGGCTATTTATAAATCACTTTTTATGTGTTTATTGAGATCAAGAAAACTCTCTAACTCGTTAATTTATTTGCTTTAACATTTAAATTTTTTTAGCTTTATCTTTATTTAGTACACAATAATAAATAAATTGTAAAATATTATGTTCATACTAAAAAATTAATGAAATGACTAATAAATAGGGAAAAAACTTTTTTACCTTGTAAATAGAACCAAAGGAGTATATGACCACTATTTACATTGTTAACAACCCTTTTATAGTTCATCGTTCACTGGTATTACTCAGATTAATTAGCATATTTTGAATTTGAGTCTGTGTCAATGTTATTGCAGTGATCTTCCAGCACACCCATTCTATTCAGCAAATTAAGAACTTCAAGAACTTCACGCCTTCACCCATTGATCTGATGGAATATGAAAATCAAAGGGCTTTAAAGTAAGACAATTCAATATATATACATACATACATATATAAATATATATATGTGAATTTATGATATTCCTGTTGTTATTAATGCTTATGCTACAAGAAAGTGTTGTGCCAACAAGCCTAAAATGAAAAATACTATGAACACAACACGACGCGCACAAATACGCATTTTACAGTCTTATTCATGCTGATAAATCTAATTTTATACTCTCACTCGATTCATAATGTAGAAATTTCCTATCCAAAACTGAACTTGCACGTATATGGATCGTGAGAAAAACAAGTAACAATTAATCAAACTTTGTCCTGAGACTGATCACTCCAATTAAGATATTCCTTACTCGTTATTAGTCAAACAAGTAATTCCCCCAATCTATAATATAAAAAGTTGGTTAACTTTTTTTACATACTAAGAAATAGGAGTTTAGTCATTAAATATGTCATAAAATGATAAAGTTTTTCTATTTTACCCCTAAAAAAATAATGAAATTACTTTTAATGTTACATTTTTATTATCTCTTATCATTTTTCTCTTTCTCCTGTATTTAATAGGGTTAAAAATGAAAAAAAATCATATTAATTATTATGACGACGTCTTATATTTTGAATTACAATTTTTTTCTAATTAACTTCTTATATCATGGATTGAAGGGAGTATCTAATAACAAAAAATCATTAACTATATATAGGGTCTGTTTGGAATAACTTATAAGTAGCTTTTCAATCGTGATTTATAACATACAAGATAAATATGTGAGAAGAATTTTATCTTGATTTACGTAAAATATGTTTATAATTAATTTTAATCGTGATGGCAAATAGACCCATAGTATGGTTTGAGGTAGGTCATGCATCAAAATAATAACTATGAGTGCATTAGCTATAAATGAATTTAAGTAATTGCAAGCCTAATGTGATTAACTTGAACTTTTATTTTAATAGTCCTCCAATCTTAAACACAAGATTCACTTTGTAGTGTAAATTACATTTTAAAATAGGTCTTATATTTAGAAACGAAGAAGTACAATTTTAAGAGAATTTCTGACTTCTTCCTATTTAGGTTATTTTTCTTCTTTTGACCGGATCTGATTTCCTTCAAGTGAGTGAACAAATTTGAAAAAGTTGATCGAAAAGGAATAAATACGATGTATGCACCTCAGAGTGTTTATATATATAATATATATATATATATATATATTACCACATGGAATTATGCTTTCTTATTGGAAGTTCAACAGAAACCGACGAATTTAATTGCTAGCTTATAATTACGAGCACGCATGAAAGGAGAGAGAGAGAGAGAGAGAGAGAGAG